GTGCAGGTGATGCAAGCAATGCTGAGGAGGAGCTTGGGGTGCAACAAAACACGTCAGCGGTACACCCTACGGGTATAGGGTTGCCCTCGCTCTTCGAGCTCGAAGACACACAGCGCAGCTGGATTTCCCCCTAGGCATTGAAGCCAATCTTGACGGGCTGACAGTACTTCGTCGTTACTTCGGCATCCAGATCCATCAGATCTATAGGGGTGTTCGGCCAATGTGCTGTGGCCCCGGAGCCGGATCGCGGATCGAGTTAATCTTCATTCCCGGTTGGGAAGGTAACCCGACTTTACTTCTAAGTGCCATGCCCCTTCAAGTAAGCGCGCGCGGGGATTCAGCCTATCCAAACAGTTAGTTCTCTGTTAACAGGTAGACTAAACCCGAAGAGTCCAAACATGGTTTGTCTCATGTATGGCTGGAATCACTTTTAAGTCTTTGGTTTCCTTTAGGCCTTGAAGAGCTATCAGCTACCCCCCTTTGGGGCGCCCGGACCTGAGGCAGGCCTTTGCCTATGGCTGCGTGGGCTTGATCCTCATCGCCACGCTGAACATGCCATTTGGCCTGAGAAGGGAGGGCCAGGGGCGTTTTGGCGCCGCTGTGATGGCCTGAATGGACAGGAAAGGCCTCAAGTATGGGTGCCCTTCCCCAAAGGGGGGCATTTTGAATGCCAGGAGTACCTGCGGACAGCGTTTGGTTTTTGGGTTTTTGACTCATTGAATACCAGGTGTTCCTTTTTCGAGATGGGCCGTGAGTAAGATTCGAAATGCGTTTCTGGCGGGGTCATAGTTTCAGGTTGGAAATGTAGGGAACCCTAGGACAGTTCTGGGTGGGCGGAGGCAATGTGGCGCAGCACGTGTTAAAGCAAGGCTCTGGTCCCCAACATACCGAGATCCAAAAGTAGACAACATTGTGGGGTCTATGCCCCAATGTCCGGCGGCTTTGCGCGGTTCGTTTAGGACTCCTGTAATATCCTACAGGGGTAGATCCGCAGAAGGATTCCGCATCAAATATGACTGGACTCTTCGGGTGAGTTTTTCCTGCAAAAAAAATAAGGTTTGTGTTTAAGCCAAGGATATGCCTCCAATAAGGCCTTCTGAGGGGGTTTAATGGATGATTGCCCCCCTTAAGGTCCATGAAGTTTTGGACCCTTGCTGGCGAATCATGGCGAATCCAGAACTGGCTGTTTGTCCAAAAATAGGTACCCAAAATGGTTGCCCTGGTAGATGGTAACATGGACTTATCCCTGCGGTCCAATTCCTGGTTTAGTTTCGACCCGTACCCAACTTTGAAACTTGCGGTGCTGAAAAAAAAAGGGAGCCAGGAGCTCCTGGAAGTGGTTCACTCCTCACGTTTTGAGTGGAGCCTAAAGCAGCCTGCAGCACACGCCCAGGCAGCGCGCCCAGGCATGCACGGAAGCAGTGGTCAAGCGCGGGTGTGCTTGGCTTTAAGCCCATCATTCTAAACGGTAGATGAAGTCAGGGACAGTCCCAATCACAAATGGGTGTGGCCGCTTGTTTGATTCTTTCATTGTAGTACCAGGTTGGTGAGCACGAGCAGAAAACTAGATCAACCAAACTGGTTCTAAGGGTGCAGCCTCATGCGATGGTCAAGGCCTTGCGGAGTTAAGCTGAGTTGTTCAATGAGTGTTGGAGCCTGGGTTCCTTTTGGCTGAGGCTGGCGATGCAGATCCCTCTCATCCGGCGCTTGCTTCTCGCTTCCATGCCCTGAGTCGATGATATCGCTTGGATATGTTGGCGCCAAACTCACACCGGTTCGCAACCATCCGGTTCCTTAGCTTTTGGCCTTTTAGTGTTTAGTGGGATTTCCGAATTTGACCCACTACAAGTTAAACTTTTAGCAGGGGATCTGAGGACAGCCCAGTTGTGCGCTGTTCTTGTTTAAAGCTGAAAGTCAATTAATCCGAATCACGCTTCTATTAGGCGGCCTTGGAAACAATGTAAACCAACTAACAGTTAGATAAATGTTAACCCTATCGTTTGTATCGGCCGCAGTCGCTGTGGTTTGTGCTTCCCAGCTGGTGTTGGTTCCAGCTTGAGTCGCAGAACATCTGCGTTGATTGTTCTGCCCCCTTGGGGCATATCCCAGGCTGCACCAGGCTTTGTGCTCCCGGTTGTGCCATCTGTGCTTGTCATCTGGATCGTTTTGGTAGAGCTTTTCTTCACATGGCAAGCAGTCCATGATGTTTCCTCGCAGCGAACCGTCTCCCTGCAGGTCTCGTACATCCGGCTGTTTTTACCGAGCGTCAAGGTTTGGGCTGAGGGAAGAGAAGGATTCATAAGGCCTGGTGCAACTGTTCCATTCGCTTGACGTTTCTTGGCAAATCTGCCAGCAAGTCCGCATGTGTCCATCCCGGCTGCTGGAGCTATCTTGTTTCAATCGAAAAGACAAAGCAAACACACCTTCGCTTGGCCGTCCATGGTCGACCGCTTCCGAATGGCTGACTTCGGTCCGTATTAAAACAGCGGGTTTCACGGTGTTGGACGCTTTAGTCCAAAGTTCGTCAACCTTTTGCCACGTGCGCCTCCCTATCCAAGCACACCTTATGAGACCCCGTCAAGCAACTTAAAAGATGTGTGTAAGGTTCGTTTCATAACGTTCCCTACAAACCCAACACCTGAAATATCCTGAAATGGCGGTCTTTGGGGGCGAAACCTGCTTACAGTCTGGCAAAAGCCTTGGCCAGAGATTTTAGCCACGATTGTTGATTGCCAGACTTGGCCTTTTCGGAGTTTTCCATCATGTCCCTTTTTAACCAGCAAAGGTTAACTTTTCGCAGTCGGAGCCGATGCCTGGCGTTGTTCCCTCCCCGGGAAACCACCGGTAGCCCTCCAGAACCCAGCTTGTCAAGATTCCTTAAACTGAGCATTAGGAATACTGGACCATATTCAAAAGGATGAACCATATCTCCAACTTTCATTCCCCCAAACATGGGGAGGAGACAGTGAAAGTTGTGGAATGCAGGCCAGGTGACATCTATTTCCCGTCCCCAGATCAAAGGCATGTATTCATTGTGTTTAGGCATAGCTTCAGCTATTCTCGTGTAGTCATGCTGTTTTGCCACAGAGGGCATGCCCCCTTGTTGAAACTGCTTCATGTGAGAACACGTCAGTCCAGTTGGCTGAGACAACCAGCTCGGGATGGGCGTGAGAGGAAACCGCTCGAGTTTTCCGCTGGGCGCGGCCCTTGCAAAAAAATGGATGAGCGGTCCAGACATGAGCGGGCGGATCCATGGCAAGCTTACCTGACAGTCAAAAAAGCTGGGATCCGTATCTTGAAATATTGCAAAAACCCATTGCAGAGCGATTGATGCTACGTATTATGTAGCTTGGCTGACCATGGGAATCAGGATGGTAAGAATCTTGATTAATATAGGAATGACCCCTTGTGGGTTGCCTGTACTTGTGGAACACTCTCTGTTGATCCAGAGGGCAACTCTTCAGTCCAAGATGTGGACATGTGTTCAACTGATCGATTTGCACAGAAGCATGCGCTGTGGAAACAAGGGATCTATGCTGGGGTCTCCTCCAAAGTTATTTATATTTGAGGGTGCACTGAAACAATATGGACCAGACGCATTCTTAAAATATTGTTTTGGGTGTACTTGAGATTTGGGTTCCCAGGCTCTGTGAGGGTTTCCCCTCAACCTCGCCTTTGGGGGGACGGAGGAATCGATGCAACCGTGGTTTCGCTGCACACAACCTGCCCTGGTCGACACGAGAGCTCTTAGGTGAACAACAGCTACGGCACTAACTTGTCACACGGGGATTGATCAAAGGTCCTTTACATGGGGTGACTATTGGGGGAAAACGCCAAAAAAAATGACATTCAGCGCTAAATGGGAAAGGTTACCCATGGTCATTTTGTTGCCAGGTTTTTTGATCAACCCTCAAATGGCAAGGTCCTGCACATGGGAGAAGGTCCGAGCCCCGTCCCCTTTTTGTTGGTTGACGCGGCGAGCGGAACTCCCTCCCCCCCGTTTCAGGGCGGTCACGTGTTGCTTGGAAACTGTGAACTGTACACACGCTTTGTGCTTTTGTGCGCCGGAGGCTCAACAAACAGCTCTCTAAACCAACGTCAAACCCAACCGAAAGTTCCCCAAAAGCAGCTTCCTTATAACACTGGCGGTTTTCGGGGTTCCATTTTGGGTTGCAGGAGTGTAAGCCTTGGTCGTTTGGATGTTTAGGAACTAGACATTTGAACCCTGGTTCTTGTGGGTAAAGGAGAACCACCTCTTAACCATTCTTAATCTCATGACTGCCAGTCCAAACCACCAAATAGAGGAAAGCTGAGATGAAGGCAAGGCAGGGTTTAAAACAAGTCGAGCCGTAAGATGCCCAAGCTCTGAGCTCTATGGGCAGAATGCTTTTGGGGTCTCATAAGAAGCGGACCCTGGAGGATAGAAAAAGGCTTTCCTTTGGTTTCCCTTTCGCAGCGGATGCCTGTTTCCACTATAGTAGATAACCAGCCATGTTCATGATGGCTTTGAAAGAGTGGCATCACTGGGTTTGCCAGGGACAAATGTTTGAACATTGCGGGCAAGGTGTTCAGGGTAACACTGGCAGGAGTTTTATGAGGATCCAACGGTTTCATAGCTGCGGTTTGTAGCAACGTATGGTGAACCTTCTGGATACTGAGGCAAATCGATCAGATGTTGTTCGTGTTCAAACTATCATGTTTGCCCTGGCAGATATTTTCCAGACAAGGACGACTGAATCATGCGGTTGGGCCTTGGAACAGGGGTGATTCGAGGCTGAAAGGCAATCCGCAAAATTCCTTTGAGCCCAGCTCTGGTCCATGAACACCTGCAAGTGTTTTTTGGCCAAGCCCAGTGATTCCCATTTTCCTGAAAAGTCCCCTCTAAAAACGGGGGGGTAGTCTTTCGGAGGCCTTTTTTGTCGTATAGCAGTGGTCATTTGCCGCAGCCCTGGTAGGTAACCCATGAACCGTGAGAGCCATCCTTCAAAAGCCAAAAGGAACATGGCTGGTTGCCTCATCGGCTGGGCTCTAGTGGCAGTTGCCGGATGCGCGGCTCCAGGGGACAAGACACACATCACTCGCAAGCTCAGGCTAGGCGTTTTTCTCGCAGGAAAAAAACACGGCAAGGCACTGAATTCGCAAGAGGTGTGGCGATTTGATACGCATGAGTCAGAGCTCTGGTTTGTGTTTTTGTGTGACGAGAGGACCAGCTCTAACTTGGGCCTTTTTTTGTCTGTCGGTTGACAGCACTTGGGGCTTTCCAGCGTTCAGCTGGTCGGAACGTGCCGTGATGGGTTGGGGACTCAGACGCATTCGCCCCGCGTGCTTCGGCGCTTCGGTGTGGCATCTTCGGAAGCCGAAGGACCAGGGATTTGAGTTTCCACATGGGGACTCGCCCCATGAGCAAAATGTTGGCCCCATATTAGTCAACCCCAGCTTGTTTTTTGTCTTTTTTGTTTAACCCGGGGGGTGTCCCCGGGTTCAGTGGAATCATCACCAAAGCACAAATCGAGAGATGGCCCGCTGTAGACCGGCCCGGCGGAGGGCACCGTCGTTCTGAATTCAGGATTTCGAGGGCTGCAGATGTTGTGCTGTTTTGCCGCCTGGGGCGGTACCCTAAAATGGGAGTAGCTGTTTTGGTTTCCCTTGGAACCCACCAAAGGATCGGCATCGGTTTGACCAATGCCCAGGCAGGGGTGCTTACATCAACGGCCGCTACGTCGCCAATGCCACGAAAGGGGGCAACAAGGGCGGTGGGCGCGGCAGAGATGCAACAGGCGCTTATGCGAGCGGGAGGGGTGACAGGAGTGCTTGTCCTTTGTGTTTTTCAGCGCGTCGGCGAGTTGTTGGCAACCTAGGTGAGGCAATTATCGGGCCAAGGTCGCAAGTTATATGACAGCCAAGGGGACTTATAATTGTGGTAGGTGGGGAACTTACCTGCTGGTGCAGCTGTTGCCAAGCTTAACCTGGTTGACAACCTACTTTCAAGTCCCCTTAATTTACAGGAGCCTCCTTCGATATGATGTTGTATAACGTTTGCTCAACATGGAGCACAATCTGAACATATGATGTTTGGGGGCTAAGTGGAGCTAACCTGGGTTGACACTAACTTGGCCGAACATGTCTTCTTTCAATCCGCCCCCGTCAGGCAGGTCGGTGGGCTGGGCTGGCGAGGACGGAGAAAGGAAGGAGCCGATGCCCCGAGAAGCGCCGAGCAAGCGAGCCGAGAGGGGCAGCCGGGCGTTCAGCTAGGTCCCCCAGTAGTGCCATTTTACTCTTTTTAGTCGGAGGGTTCCCCTACTAAAATAGACTGCAGAAAAAAGGGAACCCTTATTCTATCCTCTGTACTTGAGGACCTAGTCAGGGTTGGACAGGGTTGGAAGTGACAGGAGGGTTTTGGACAAGCGTCCTCCCTTCCACTTCCATTGCCGGACTTTCTACTTTGTGTTTTTGTGTTCTCAATACTCGCTGCTTGAGGAAATCAGCCAGGTTTGGAACTCACTCCCGGAATCGGACTGTGCTGCAAGGTTCGGACTTTCTTTGGCCAATCAGGAAGTGAGAGTTTGAGTGGGCGTGTGGGTTACTCTTAAACAACATGTCCTGATCAGAATCATGTGTCCTAGATAGTTGGCCTCTATGCCGTGCCCCAAGAGCTAATTTCCTATTCTGCTCCATTTTTGCCAACCTACTGCCCGGACTTCTAGTGAGTATGCGGCTGACCTCATGGCAGCCCGCCAACCGCTTTAGAAAGAGTTGGTGTTTCCCAGTGTGCTCTCACGAAGTAGTTTCCATTCTTACAGAGGACT